TTTCTGGACCGGGCCAGGTGACGAGAGGATGTCTCATCATCGGCGCAGATGGAGAATGGTTCTGGCTGCCCTGTCTGTGATTTCCAGGAGAGATTTTCGATGTGAAGATGGTGGTAAGGAGCTCAAAACCAATTTCTGTCTCGTTGTTGTCGCCTCGTCAGAAGCAGGCTGCCATCAGGTACCCCAGAAAGCCGATGACCGGCGTGCTTTTCCCGTAAAGAGGCAGCAGCTCAATTTTAACCGCAAATATTAAAAGCCAGAATAAGATTGATGTGCTGCCAATAGGCTGTTAATGTTGTGTTAGCAGTGCCTGCTTACCTCATAAATAGGAGCCTTGACTCACGAGCCCAGCAAAGTTCATCCTGAGAACTTCGGCGGGTCTTCTGGGTGACGGGTGAGACATTGCATTGGATAGGTCACTGTACCTGCTCTCCTGCTCACTGTTCGTTATTCATACAATGAAAAGGCAAGGGACATACACGGGTCACGTCCCACCATGGACCAGTATTATCGATATCTGTGCGGCGCTAATGTCCTCATTTGAATGCAGCAACAATTTCATATGTACCGAATAACCAAGGACACAGACGTGACTATTTTCTCTGCTTAAGAAGACTCTGATTCTCATTTATCTTATAGCAAGAAGTGGTAAAAATTAATATGTAAGAGTAAAATGAAATCCTTGAGTTGGTGTGGCTTTGAACTTATTTTCCCTGGGATTTCTTCATGAGGTAATGGTGGGGACATAGAAAAGAAAGTGATGTTCTGGATACTACCAGAACACAGGCTCGAATGGATCACAGAGCAATAAGGAAGAAAGAAAGAAAGAAAGAAAGAAAGAAAGAAAGAAAGAAAGGAAGGAAGGAAGGAAGGAAGGAAGGAAGGAAGGAAGGAAGAAAGGGAGGGAGGGAGGCTCGGAGGGAGGGAAGGATGGATGGAGGGACAGACAGAGGGAGGGGAAGAACAAGAAGAAAAAAGTTTTACACAATTCCTCATGCTCGCCATGGCAGTGAATGAACTGGAGTCCCCCAGGTAAGTTTCCAGACCAATTAAGTTTTTTTTCTTTTAAAGTGTAAGGGGCTGAGTTATTAAATAGCGTATTTTACATTCAGATGGTCTGTAGCCTACAGAAGCGAACAAGCACGTGGAGTTTAACAGCCAGTTGATTGGCGAGGAGGACACTCTTTCCCTCCCAGGAAATGCTCTAAGACAGCGCAGGACGAATGCAGCTTTTGGGAGTCACCTGCTCCACACTTGCCAGGGACACCTGCTGCCCACAAAGCTCTAGAGAGGGGTGAAGTGTGAGGGCTGTGAAGTCTCCTGGAACTGTCGTGGTCACTTTCCATACAGTGGGAACATATTTGACAAAGAAAACTTACAGAAGGGTTTCTGTCGCGTGCTCCTGTGGTCCTAGACAGACAAGCCCTACATCCTCACAGTTACATGTGTGATATCCAGACGCAAGTGCTTGAATCTCTACTTTTGACCTTCACTGAGAGGAATGGGTCTTTCTCATTCTAAGTCATTTTTACCCAGGAATATAACACATCCAAGCATCAAAGGAGGGAGATGAGTGTCAGATGTGGTGTGTTCCTGAAGGGCTGTGGGTTCTTGATGTCTCTACCCATCATGTCTGAAGTCACCTTGAATGCCAAGGGGTTGATGCTGGGGGGACCTGGGGATTAAGGGTCAAGGAGTCTCTGTGTGTCATGATTTATCAACCAGTCAGCTTGTAACCTTGTCTGACGTGGGCTTCTGCTTAAAGTTGTCAGCTCCGTACATCACTGACTCAGTAGCCCTGGAGCTACGGCCAAACTTCGTCCAAAGGAAGTTTATCTCACACATGTGTATTCATGCAAAGAGCATCAGACAGCATACTGCCCACGGAGTCTTTAAACTGAAGAACAAAACACACAAAAGATGTAGAAACATGGTTCCAGTGACCCTGAAAAGGACCCCTCTCCCTTACCGCAGGACACCAGTACCTTGGATTTGGATATATCGAGTTTCGTACCACTGCAAAACCACCAAGAATCTTGCTTTTGAAGTAATGAGAAAATTGAGATAAGTAGGGCAATTACCCATTCAGAACCCTCGAGGACCAACAGTGTGTGGTTCTCAAATCATGTGCTTTAATGGAGATCATACCAGACTTGAGAATGACCATCACAGAGAGAGTGAGCCTGTGTTTACCTAAACAACCATCAAGAAATCCTGGGCTGATATTGATATGATCAGAGTCACTGTAAATGCCAGTTCGTGGGTGAATGGCAATCAGTGGAGCAATGAGAAGTATTTCCAGCAGGAGCTGTGTGGTGTCAGTAGAACACTCTCCACCCCGTCCAGAGATTTGTACTAGGTTCCCCCATGCTGGGACAAAAGACCTAACAAAATCAACTTCAGAAAGAAAGGGCTTGCGTTGTTTGCGGGCTGAACTCACCATGAAAGAAAAGCCGTGGCAGCGGGTACATGAGGAGGCTGATCACATTGTCTGCACACTCAGGAAGGAGAGGGTGGTGAGTACATACAGCCCAAGCTATACAACCTCAAAGTCCACCCCCAATAACCCATTCTAAAATAGTGTCGCTAGCCAGAGACTAAGTACTCAAACCCATGAGCCTGGTGGGAGACCTTAACACACTCAGATACAACAAGGTGTGACAGGGATTCCAGAGGATTCCGTGCCACTGATACCTCATAGCCTGTCCATTAGGCAACAGGTAGCGGGTGCTGAGGATGGAGCAGGGAGTGGTACTGCCATTGTGGGATGTTTGTACACCTGCGAAACTGTACTGCTGTGATTGGTGCTGGAACAAAATGCTGACTGTCCAATAGCTAGGCAGGAGGTATAGGCAGGACTTCTGGGCACAGAGAGGACTCTGGGAAGAAGAGAGGCAGAATCACCAGCCAGATGGGGAGGAAGCAGCATGGGCAGTATGGACAGATGAGGTAAAGAGCCACGTGACAGAATGTAGATTAAAAAACATGGGTTAAGGGGCCGGAGAGATGACTCAGTGGTTAAGAGCATTGCCTGCTCTTCTAAAGGTCCTGAGTTCAATTCCCAGCAACCACATGGTGGCTCACAACCATCTGTAATGAGGTCTTGTGCCCTCTTCTGGCATCCAGGCATACAAGCAGACAGAATATTGTATACATAATAAATAAATAAATATTTAAAAAACAAAAAAACATGGGTTAATTTAAGTTATAAAACGTAGTTGGGAACAAGCCTAAGCTAAGGCTGAGCTTTCATAATTAATAAGAAGTCTCTACATCATTATTTGTGAGCTGGCTGCCCCCAAAAATATCCAACGACATACTGCCCTGATGCTACCAGGATAACTGATTAACAGAGACTCAGAACTTCTATTAGAACTGAAGGTTAGATCCAGGCACACGGAGGCAAGCCCAGTGCACCACAGTTAATTGAACAGACCAGGGAGAATCCTCCAGATGGGACTCCACACTGAGGGCAATGAATGTGGGATGGATTGGAAGCTGGGAAACCAGCGAAATTCGCCTCCAGCACGGACACCAGAAACTTGGGACCGGAACAGCCACTGAGGCACCAAGTTCTTCCGAGGAGGGAGGATACTTACCAATAACACTTTTAGGATGTGTTTTGCTTAATCCACAGCCTGTGTTTGGGGTCACACTGGGTTAGGGCCCCAAGTTTTTGAAGACAGAGTATTCACAAGTGGAATGTTACCTTTCTGAAAGAAATGATGACACCAGACCCCACTGCTCTTGTGAGGATTCACAGCAGTCCGTGTACATGAGGGAGCTAAGGTAAGAGCAAGAGCCAGGATTTCTTCCTCAGGACCACACCCCAGCTTTGCTCTTGCAGGCCTCAAACAGGAGCCTTGAAGATCCAAGTGTGCACTGTGATCTGCTCCCATAGGGTAAGCCGTGTGGCAGGTCATAGTTAAACCAAATGCTCCCCAAATTCCACTAGGTCAGGCTAGGATCCCCATATAGTTAGGGCTATTAGGTCATGTGCTAGGGTAATCTCTCTGGTCTTTCCCATTTTAAAATGTAGCTGGTGTCATCTACTACCTGCTGTGGGATAATGGTTTTGTACACAGTAAAGATTTGTCACTTGTACTGGATAATAAAATGATGACTGTTGTCATTAATATAGTTTCTGTGATTACTCAGGTCTGGATGGCCGGGAACACAAGCACAGCCTCTGGAAATGAGTGATGCTTACAGAAGGTTGCAATGGCTTGGCTGTGCTTATGAGCTACCTAGATACGCCCCCCACAGTTTACACACTGGGTTTCTAGATCAATGCACGACTCTGGGACCACATTCTCAACTAGCACCTGGCTCCCACCGCAGACGCCAATAAAGATCCCAGTTGCTACCCACAACATTTCCCGATATGGGAAGTAGTCCTTTCCCGCTACAGACCCACCTGGGAGCTGAGGGACAAACAACGCTGTGGCTAAAGGTTAATGACACCGTGCGTTGATAATTTTCCTTCATGGCTACTGTTCCGATAGGTAGGATGTCCCACGCTGTAGTCTCGCCAGCAAGAACCACACGGGACACTAGGATTCTTCTGCAGAAAAGCTTTTAATGCGTACTGAGAGAGAGAGCATCAGCTAACATGGCCAGGGACCCCTAAATGAGGGAACCCATCCCTTATATAGGAAACAGTCCTCGCTTCGGACGTGTCACTCCTGGATTGGCCCGCTGCCCATTAGCCCAGGTGAAGCCTCGGGAGTAGGCAGGGACAGCAGTGGAAAGTTACCGAACACATGTGCGTTCACCTGGCGGTGAAACCGGATGCCAGCGCCATCTTGTAATGGAGCATGTGGATGCGGCCCTTCACAGTAGGACCCACTGGGTTCAGCTGCGTGTTTGCCACTGTGAGCAAAAATAGCGAGGAGGAGGCGGCTAAAGCCTAGGGCAGAGCTTTTGGTCAGTGAGCGGCTTTTGGTTCTTTCCTGAGCAACATTCAGTATCTGCCAGGGAGTTTAGATTTTGTTGTGGGCTCTGAACATCCAACGATGTGTTTTCTTAGTTTACGAGTCGGTGACTGTGGAAAACAGCCTTTACCTAGCAACGCCAATGGCTGAGATCAGGCCCTGGCAGAGCCCTGCAGGGAACAAAGTATGCAACAGGAGGAGAGGTGCCAATGGCTGCCCCAGACTTCCAGCCTGATCTCTCTGCATCTCCAGAACCAGCCCGAGGATGTGAGATCTTTGCTAGTCTGCTAGCATGAATGCTTCCGCGGCACCTCACCCAGCCCGTGTGTGTCTCGCCACACCGTCTTCCTCAATGAAAGGGTAGCTGAGGCAGTCTTGGCTGAAACTGGCCCTCTCCATCTTCTATTTTTAAACTGATGCGTGGACTAACTCCAAATCATGTCCTGGACTTGGACTTAGACGCTCTCTGGGGCCTCTGAATGGAGTGTTTCCACCTCATTGCCACACAGACAGCCGCTAATAATCACAGGGTTCTTGGAAGCCCTTTCTGCCCCGCATCACGTGGGTTTTCTTGAGTCTCCAGTTCTTGCCATGAAACAGACATTAGAGATGGAGTCTCTTCCAGTTGGGTACCTGTGACATGCCTCAGAGCATCTTGCAAGACTTGGAGAGAGAAAAGTAGCATGGTAATTAGCATTGCAAAAATTTCCACTCTCGTGTCTATTTATTAAGCAAATGTTCTTGGAAAGGCCCTTCAATTATAATTTATATATCACATATACATACATATTCTTAGAATTCCACTCAGATTTTTCTGCATAAATTTTGAGGCCTTAAATGCCTACATTTGCATTTAATTACTCTTCTGATTAATAGAACCAGCAAAAATAATCAAATTATGAACAATTTAAATATGGGTTCTTAAACACACATGCCAATTCTTTTACGTTTTCATTTTTTAAACGATGGTTTGGCCTCGAACATCAAAGATGTGAAGAAATGGGGGGAAGAATCTAAATTACCAAATAGCCATGGATGAGTGGTTTTTTTTCTCTTCTTTCTTTGTTCCTCTCAGAATATAGACTCCATCCCCGTTGTTGACTACAGTCTTTATGATCTCTCTCAAAGGACAGTCCTTGTGAGGGTGTCTGAGAAGAGAGAGAAAAGGCTTCACGCTGGTCCTGGGTGTCGTCAGAAGCAGACTCTCTAAGGCAGAGGGCTTTCTAGAACAGGGAGGAGATACACTTGCTTCTCAGTCAGTAGATACTTACAAGAGGCATATTTGATCATTAATTCTAAGTATCAGCTCACCATAACTTAGGATCATCTGAGTAGAGATTCACCTAGATCCTATTCCTGTTGCCCTGTGGGCATGTCTCTGGTGGCCCTTCTTCATTCTTAATTCATACAGGAGGACAGAGCCCATTATGGGTGGCATTGTTATCTAGGCAGATGGTCCTGAACTATATGAGAAAGGAAAAGGCTAGCTGAGCAGAAGGAGGCAACCATCAGGCATCGTGGGTGCATCCGTCCCTTGCCGTCTTGAGTGTGGATGTGTTGTGACGGTAGCCTGCCGGTATCTTGCCCCACAGTGATGGACTATAACCCTGTACTGTTGGCCAAATAAACCTTCTCATCCCCTAGCTTGGTTCTGGTTGGAATGCTTTCTCACAGCAACAAGAACTTCTCAACTGATGTGTAATGCTCTCAGATATATCTTCCTGTTAAACATTTCTTTCAATTATTTTATATGTACGGGTATTTTTCTTGCATGTGTGTCTGCAATGCTAGCCTCATGGCCTCAGAGGCCAGATGAGAGCATCAGATCCCAGTGAATCCCAATTCCAGACACTTGCGAGCCCCGGTGTGAATGCTAAGAACTGAACCCGGGTCCTCTGGAAGAGCAGTCACTATCCTAAATCTCTGAGTCATCTCTCCAGGCCCAAATATAGCTTCTTTGAATATGCAAAACCTCAGGCAAGCTTAACACACAGAGCAGTGCTTTTCAGTGTGAGTCTCAATGAAAGAATTATCTGAATCAGGCTGGCCTGTCTATGGCGGATTATCCTCATTGTTAACTGACCCCGCCCACTGTGGGAGGCATCATCCCCTAGGCAGGGCCCTGAATGGTGAAAGACAAAGAAGGTCAGTGGAAAAAACAAGCAGACAGCATGGTTCATTATTTTCTTTCTGCTCTTGACTGTGGATGTGGTGCGACCGTCTGTCTCAGGCCCCTACCTCTGTGACTGCCCTGCAGCAATGGATGAAATGAGGGCACAGGCATACACAGCTGCTCTGTCTCTCCAACTGCCCCTCTTAGGGCTCTACTCTTTCCTTATATCCTGTGTTCATTTGTTTATACTATGCTGGAGGCTTATCCTAGGAGGGCAGGATTGGCTTCCAGTGTGCCCACACTGTTACATGGTAGATCCTTTGGAGGATGGAGTCTCACAGAAGGTAGGTAGGTCATTAGAGGGATGCCCTCAGAAGGTACTGGTTAGCGCTCTTGAAAGTGAGCCATTGTAGACGAGTGCCCTAGCTCCTGGATCTTGCTGGCTTCCTAGCCCTCTCCATGTGACGCCCCATGTGCACACGCTCTTGTGTATCTTGATAGATGCCATTTTCATTATTGTTTAATTTGTTTTCCTTTACATTTTTAAATTTTTTATTTATTATTATGGGCAGGGGACGAGTGCACGCAGAGGAGAACTTGGTAGAGCTAGTTCTCTCTTTCCACCTCTACGTGGATTCCCAGGGTTGAGTTCAGGGAATCAGGCTTGTCCACAAGTGACAAGAGGTCTCCTGATTGACATCTGAGTCAAAAGCTTGAAAACTTTTGGAATGCAATCCTTTTTAAGGGTGCATAGTGCTAACACTTTTCGTCTTCCTCTTATTGATGTATAACAAGCACTTTATAATCAGAGAATGTGACCCATTCTCGTCTAATTCTTTAAAAATCTCTTACACTTACTTTGTGACACCAGCATGATATTTATGTAAATTGTCTTTGTGGCAATAAAAATAATGATTCTGAAATTATTGCCTTTTCCTTGAATGCCGGTGAAGGCTGACTTGTTAATTGTATGGCTCAAATATTTCCCTCTGTATTAAATATTCCTTATCTGATTTATCAATCTCTGACCAAGTTATATGAATAGATCCAATCTATTAATTGATTTGCCTATATCTCCATATATTCTGTCACTTTTTAAAATGTTCTTTGGCTATTTTATTACATCCATAAATATTTGGACTTTTTATAACCTCCTGGGAAATTTAAACTTAAATCAAGACATAATGGCCCTCTTCATCTGTGATTGTGGTTTTGCCTTTTGGCTTTTTTCTCTGGTATTAATATTGCTGTGCCCAATATCCTGTGGTTGTTCTTTGCCTGGTATCCATTTTTCAATTAATTACCTGAGCATCTCTGCATACTAGGCTTTAGGCAAATCTCATGCAAAGGACATATAATTTGATTTGGTTTCCCATCTGGAAATCTTCTATCCTGTAAATTTATACACTGAAATTACTTGCATTTTAACCCTACATTCTTCTTTGGAATCTTGTTTTTGTCTTTCTGCTTTCTGTATCATGTTTAGCTTTCTCTAATTTGCTTGACGTCTCCAATTAGGATAGCAAATCTAAAACTCCACAGACACGATGTCTTCTCATGAACAAGACAGACATGGAGCTGTCAGCTTACCATCCCCAGCAAGATGACCCACCGCAGCAGTGCACAGTGTCTCGTATTGTTGGTTGTAGATTAAATTCGACAGTTTGATTGTCGTTCTCTGTCCAGGGCTGGCTTAGACTACCCCACTTCCTGCTGGTCACCACACCACCCTCCTGGGTGTTCTCCATTCTTCCCGAGGTTGAACCCCCAAGTATCTTTAGAGAGGCAGGGGACTGTGAGTTCCCTTAGCTCTTATTCTCCGGACATATAGCTATCTCACTCTGGATTATGGGAGATCAGTCGCCACATACAGCAGTTGAGAGCAACATTTGTTTTGCTTGCTCTTTTAACGGCAACACTCCACTTCCTTCCACGGGTATCTTTGGTTTTGTTTATTTTAATCAGTTCTGAAATAGTCTGTCAGTCTGCCTTCCTCTTCTTTGCTCTGTCTCCACTTCCTTGGCCATTTTTATTCTGCTCTGTATGGTGTCTCGAGTCCTAGAGAACAGAAGTAAGTCACTGTGGCTTCTGCTTCCCATTAACAGTGAGTGACTGCTTCCCCTGGTGTCTGGCAATGGTGGGTAGAGTGTGTGTGCATGCGTGCACATGAATGCATACACATACAACCATCAAGATAACAGTTCTCAATCAATCATCTCCTCAAGAGTCTCACCAGCATGTGATCTGTAAATAAGAGAACCAGATCGTGGGATAGAAACAACGAGAGCAAACCAAGAGAGAGGGAGTGGAGGGAGGGAGAAAAGCAGAGGGAGGGAGGGAGGTACGAGTTGGGGGAAGAGGAGAGGGAGGCATCTAAGCCACAGTGTGAGGCGAGTGTTTCACAAGCTCCAAGACGGCTATGCTGGAATCAGAGGCGGGTTTACTTCCACCTTCCCTGAAAGTGTCCAACATGGCATCTCTACTGCGGACAAACTGGGAATGGTGCTGAGGGTTTCCACCAAGATGAGGAGAAATGGAAGCACAGAGAAGTCAAATGACTGCTCCAAGGACATCCTGGTTAATGAGTGAAGATTCCAGAACATAGACTAACACTTAAACAAATGTAGTCTGTCTTTGCACAACCTAAAAAAGCAAAGCGCCTTTAGAAATAGAACTTTCTGGAAATGCTAAAGCTGCCTTTCTCTCTGGATAAAGAGAGATAGGTTAAGGAAATGTGAAATACTCACCCCTTTGGTTCCCCGGAGTCCCTTAAAGATTAGCGCTCAATGGGTAATTTTAAAAATGGCAAGAAAATCAGCCAGCCCTGCACATGTTTAGCTCAGTTATTCTTGGAATTGAATAAACAAAACGTAGAAGGGGCCTAGGGAAGGAAAGAGCAAGTGTTCTTCCCAGAGAGGCTAACAACAGCTCAGTTTCAGCTAATGAATCCATTGCCCAGGAGAGGGGTCAGCTTTTCCTGGCTGCCTTTGTCGATGATGATCTGAATAAGCCTGGTCACCATCCTGCAGGGCAGGAAGGATGCTTATCAAGAACCAAGGGTCTGTGCTCAACCCAGTATCTTGGGGCTCTGTGGCCCTAGCCGTGGTATCCTCTCTAGCCTTGGTCTTCCTTAGCCATAGATAAAGGCCAATGAGACTTGGCCTGTCCGGGGTGTGTGACATGAGAGATGACAGGCAAAACGAGTGGCTTTGCCCCACCCCCTCAGAACTTACTGCACATCTGTGTTGTGAGGGGAATGGGGTCTATACCGTATCCACCATCCTCTCCTCCCAGCCAGCTGTGTCCTGACCCAGGAGGCAGCAAGTCCAGCTGCAGGGCCAGCTGAGGAAGGGGAAGGGGAGATGTTTGTGCCCCATCCCAGGATACAATATAACATTCTTGGTTTGTCGTGGGTCTTCTGTGTTTCATCACTGAATAGTTAAATCTTGCAAGCTTAAAGACAAGACTGAACTGAATAGACACTCCACAGCATTAAGGAGAGGCCATCAAGTCAGAATGCACGGTTATGAACTGTGATCGACAACAGAAGCCATTCTGTTATCAACAAAACTGATGAACTATTTCTGGATCCAATGGTGTGTGTGTGTGTGTGTGTGTGTGTGTGTGTGTGTGTGTGTGTGTGGTGAATGTCTTGCCCTCTGTCACTGAATCCAAGACAGGAAAAAAATAACGAGGGTACTTTTAGCACATGTATACACATTCAACTAAATCCTTGACGAGGCTTAAGAGAAATCCATAATTCAAACCATAAATGCACTGTCTACAATAATAGTTGACTTCTCTTAGTACTTTTAATAAAAGGTATTAATGAGCCTTCTGGTACTTTGAGTGTTGTTTTAAAACCTGTCAGTCAAGTGGGAAAGGTCTAACACCCATAGAGCTAGCAGGGAAGAACCATATCAGAATGATAAGTCTCTCTGTGTGAGAGACTGTGGAGACTGAGAAACCATGCATACACATGCATGTACACACACACACACACACACACACACACACACACACACACATTGCTGGCTCTTCTCAAACTCTTTCTGCTACATTCCTTAAAAGTTTGTCTTTAGTAAAAATGCCTTTTGGTATGTCTTTTTTTTAAAAAGTACTCATTGTATTTCTCCTTCCCGCCCCTAATTCCTCACATAGCTCACTGTAGATTAAATGTCCCTGGGCACCCACATCCGGGACCAATACTGGCAAGTCAAGACAGAGCTGCAGTGTGCCCTCAGCAGTGGGCACATCTCTGGACTCACCTGTGCCATGCCATGCTGCCACTGACAATGGCACAAGGACTTTGCCCAGCGGAAACTACAGCACAAAACACTACTCCAGCCAAGGGAAGGGCATACATTAGGAAAGCCCCTGTCTGCAGTCACCATAACAAACTGCTATGCTTCTTCGACTAAAGCAAGTTACATATGGAATCCTGGGAGCAGGAAGTTCCCGTTAGAGCCTCAGCAAGCCACGCTTCCCCAGCTGATGTAGGTGGGCCTTCTGTTATGTGTTATTTTCATTGGTTAATAAAGAGACTGCCTTGGCCCTTTGATAGAACAGAAAATTAGGTAGGTGGAGTAAAACAGAATAGAATGCTGGGAAGAGGGCAATGAGGCAGACGCCATGGAATCAGCCACCAGGTCAGACATGCTGAATCTATCCCTGTAAACCACCACCTCGTGGTGCTACACAGATTATTAGAAATGGGTTAATCAAGATGTGAGAGTTAGCCAGTAACTAACTCTCTAGAGATAATGGGCCAGACAGTGTTTAAATGAATACAACTTATGTGTTATTATTTCTGGGGCTAAGCTAGCTGTGCGGGAGCTGGGCAGGATGAAAAGCAGGCCTGCCCGCAGCTCCTCACTACACCCAGCACTCCAGAAGACCGCCATGTTGTCCGCAGGATATAGATGCAAAGCCAAGTGTCCCAACAAGGTGGCCACTCTCTTTCCCCACATGACTCTATGGGATGAAAAGAATCCACCTCCATTAATCACTTGTTTATTTATAGTCTGTTCCCTGAGTCAACATCCTCATGGAGGAAGACACAACACACTGACCACCACAGCAGGATCACCTTCTGTGTGCTGTGTGCACATGTGTCCTGCTCAACACCGCGAGGCAAGATGTGGAGCCACATGGGTCCTGCTTACCCTGTGTGACACATTTGCCTCTGACTGCCATTCACCCCAAGCATCCCTCCTCCCCACCAACCAGGCTGACTCATCCCCTTTACATCCTGACAACCACCTTTCTGGTAGAAACCTCTATCCCTCCCACCTCCCACATCCCTAGAACTCCAAGGTACCTACATCAGCCACCAGGCAGTAAACAGAGCCCAAAGCAATCAAAGCAAACCCAGGATCCTCTTAGGAAATGTGACCAAATCAACCAGGGGTCCCATCTTTTCATCTCAAACATTTCCAACCACAGTTACCAAATGAGCATAAATGGTCCCCAGCTATACCCTCCTGGACCACGCCTCCTTACTTCTCCCTTCTTGGATCTGTATGAAAACCATGCCCTTGCGCAGGCACCTACCATGCTGTCATGGCCACAGTGCAGACCCCCAGACCACCAATGTCACCCCAAAGCGTAGCATCGGATTCCTAAATTGTACTAGAAGTGTTACTTGGTGGCACAGTGCCTGGTGGGACCGGAGGACACAGGGAGCTCTTTCTTCCATGTGGAGAGCCTCTGCCTGTTTGTTTCCATGTTGTATCTGCACTTAACATCTGTCTTCGTCTTGTTTGCTTTGCATGCGCGCCCTGAGTCATGCCTTCATGTACCACTGCAGATCTTCCAACCTCTGTCTGTCCTGCCGCCCGTCCTTCCCTCTGCATCTTTCCTGGTACTCATCTGCCATCTGTTTATTAGACTCAGGGCCATTTGGTCAATTGCTTACTTGGTAATTTGCACATCGATGCTGCCTGATGACTTTATCTTTTCATCTTTGAAATCATTCTTCTTAATATTTAACCACAAAATGAACAGCACCAATGTTTTCTCTGAGTTTGGGTTGCTTTTCTTAGCTCGTGGTGCTTCCCTTTCTCCCCAAATTTCTCTGTACTAACCACCTTTCTCTCTCTGGCCCCTACCAGGCTGCTTTGTGTGGCCATCAGTCCTTGAACACACGGGGCTCAAGCATGTGAAGTATTTGCCACAATCTACACCATACCAGAGTGACAGAGCAAAATTGACAATTCCTTGTGCTCTGTGTTTCTGGAAGTGTCCTTATTCCTGGCCGGTTTTTATTAGTGGTGTGTATCCATCACAGATAGTAGCAGGGGTTGGAGATATTTGCATGTAAGCACATCACAGGATCCAGCCAGGTATTTGTCCCTTTCTCCGCTCCCCCCCCCACTTTCCCACACAGTCTTGATTCCAGTTTTAGATATACATATGTGTCTGTGGATATCTTTATGTGAAAACATTCATAAATTTTATGTATATAAAGCATAGGACAAAGTCAAGACACAGTGGTCCATGTCCTTTGAAACTCATCACTATGGGTACTTCTTAAGGATTTCTTTTATTTTTAGTCACAGGTGTATGTTTGTCTATGTGGAATATATGCATATGTGTACAGTGACCTCAGGGGCAAGAAGATGGCAGATGCCCTGGAGCTTAGTTACAGGGGTGGTGTGGGAGAATTGTCTGTATTCTGTCAATCATATTTTAATAAAATGCTGATTGACCAGGCAGGCAGTATAGGCGGGAAAGCCAGACAGGAAGTAGGGGTGGAGCAAAGAGACTGGGAGTATTCTGGAAGCAGAAGCTCCCTCTGTCATTCCTGCGCAGACCACCGAAGAGGCAGGATGTAATCTGCCCAGCTGAGAAAGGTACTGAGCTGTGTGGCTAATGTAGATAAGGATAATGGGGTAACATAAGTTATAAGAGCTAATAAGTAGCCTGACCTAATGGGCCAATCAGTTTATAATCTTATGGAGTCCTGTGTGTGATTTTCCTTGGGGTATGCCGGTTGTGGGGTACCTGGTGGGACAGAAACCCTAACAAGCTGGCCCTCACTACACAGGGGGCCCTGAGTTGCCCTTCTGGGGAGTGGCACACATTCTTAACTACTGAGACATCTTTCCAGCTCCACTATGGATATTTTTAAATACATAAACTTTATGCATATAAAAATCTGGGATCCTCATGAGGAAAAGCATGCTATTTGCCTTTCCGAGTCTGGCTCATTTGCTACGATGATGCTGTGGTGTCTGTTTCAGTCTCTGTGGCTGAATCAAACTCCTCCATGTCTTTCTCATTTTCTCAATCTCTTCTGTGACGGACACCTAGGCTGATTCCATGGCGCGGCTGCAGTGAACGGGAGCACACAGAAAGCATGCGTGTGCAGCTGTCTGCATGTCACATTCCACCCTTCAGGCTCACACAAAGTGCAGCTCAGAAAGCAAGATAAACATGTCTGTCTATAGACCTCAGCGATCCTGTTAGCCAACACATGGTGGGGAGGTGACCAAGTCCGCCTCAACAGAGCCCTGTCGTGTGGTCTCCTGTCGACAGGGGACACCAGCAGCGTCCTCAAGTAGCTCCCCGATGCTTTTGATACCCATTCCCTCTGTCTGTGTTTGGGGAGGTGCACAATTGTACCCCCAGAACTAGCCCTGTGCCCTCTTTCCCTCTGCTTCAGCACACTGACCTCAGATGAGAGCCTCAGACTCAGGGTGATCGATGTCACCCTGGACCGCTGTCCCCACACGCTATCCCCACACGCTGAGAAGCAGCCTGCTTGCTCTCTGCTTGGATGAAGCCAAACCATCAAACCGCCCTCTGATGTCGGCTTCTGTGTAAAGCTCTCAAAACATGTCACCCTAGTCCTAAAGATGGAATTAGAACCGCAATTGATGATCAGCTGCCCACAGTGGACTGGAAGATTCATGAGAGAGGCCTATAGATTGCCCTCAGCACTCTGGCTAGCCTCTGTCCAGGCCCACAGCAGCTCTTGACAAACAACGTTTGATTAGTCGACAAAAACATCTCATACGTACATTCAAATAGCCCATGTAGTAAGATTAGCTGCCTGTCGTCACAATTTTACCTGGTAGGTGTACTCTTCCTAATGAGTACAGATGGGGAAACCGAGGCTGAATGAAGAAATCTTGTGGTTTCTGGGAAGTCGCTTTATAATAAGGAAATGAGGAGTTACCAGAGTCCGGCTTGGTTTCCAGCCTGTGCTCAGGCTGTCTCTGCTGGTGAGAGACGGAGCCTAGAGTGAGCCAGCACTCAGGCTACTGCCTGACATGTCTCCAAGAGGCTGCAGACTTCTCTTCTGTGAACCAAAGACCACGTTGGCAGATGGCTGGAGAGCACCAAAGGTCAGTTTCGGTTCCACATATCGTGGGTGTGTGTGTGCGCGCGCGCGTGTGCATGTGTGTGTTCATGGAGGAGGATGCATGTACAGGTGTTCATCCTCGGGAGACCTCTTGTTTTATTTTGCTTTGCTTTGCTTTGCTTTAACAGGGTCTCTTAGGGACCTGAGGCTCACTGATCCAGCTGGACTAGAGAACTTCCCATCTCTGCCTCCACGGTGCTAGGCTTGTAAACAGGGCACCAGCTCGTATTTTTTACATGGATTCTGGGCATCTGAGCTCAGACTCTGGGGCAGCAAGCACTTTGAAGACAGAGACAGAGCCATCTCTCAGCCTGCCCCACAGATGTTCACCTGAGATCAGGCAATTCCCAGAGCCAGGTGCTCAACCCATGACTGGAATCTCTCCAAGGACAAAGCCTCCTTTCTACGTGGCAAGGCCTTCACAGTGTGCTGGTGGAACACGGAACAGGAGAACACAGGAAGGCTCTCTGAAACCTAGCCTTCACCCACATCTACAAATAGACCAGAGAGCCACCAACCTCAAATGACAAGTGTTTCCCTTCTCACTTCCCCTAGAGCTTGGAGACATATTATTTTGCATTTTCAATTCGCGCTCTATCTTCAGTTTCAGTGCCGAATGACAAGAACATATTTATACCTGCGTGTGCATCTGCCGCACTCTTGCTGCAGGGTCAGAAGCAGACAGCTGTCCTCTGGGTCGGGAAGTTCTGTTTCTCGGTTTCGTATGTCTAAACTTTATTTTTGTGTGTAGAAGCAACAGAAACACTCATGTGAAGCTGTGGGGTTCCCTGGCAGCTGCCACAACTTCAACAGTCCCAAACTCCACAACTTGCTAAAACCAATGAACAACTGAGACTGAGAATTGCTTCTGGTCACTGCCAATAATGTCACCACTCCACTGTGGCACCTAATGCAATTCTTCCTCTGACATGATACCCGCTGTGGACACTCCAGGCAGCACCCCAGCATCATGAACTCACAATACCCCTCCTATATAGCATTGATTTGAAATTTTAATGACTGTTTTTGTCTAAGCAGCATGCTTATGTCCAGAGACTAAATGCCCTGAGCCTTAGGACACTATTTCTAAGAAACCCAGCCGTCTCCTCCATCCCTTTCTTCCTTGCCCATGATGAGATCCAATTTTTTCTGCTCTTGGCCAAGGTTTCTGGAACACAAGGGACTTTGATTCACAGTTGCTTCCCCACTTACATTTGGTGGACATACGTGTGGTTTTGTCTCTACCAGAGCCAATGATCTCCCTGCCTTCGCACTGGTCCAGGTGTACAGCCATTGCATTTTCTCCCGCTGTGCCATGCGCAGGAGGGTGTGTCCATCAAATGTAGGTGGGGTGATTTGTAACAAGGAAAACTGCAACCATAACTATCTAGTCTCCAACCCCATCAGAGACCCTAGAAGGCTCAAATATTACCTGACTAAGGAGGAAGTGCAGAGCAACCAGCTTCCAAAACTATAGAAATGGCAAAGACATCTGGCTGCCTAGGCAGACACCCAGGGTTCCTCTGCAATGTTGAGGCATCTGTCTTTGACCTGCAGACCTAGGATACTTGACATATTTTTCTGTGAGGCAGAAAACTTCGTCTTGGCAAAGTTAGGCAGTCACTTTCTTTGGTGTCCAATGGCTAACTTTTCCACAATGAAAGCAAATTCCATATGGAGATTCTTCAACGCCCATCATTCTTTTTTGAAGTAGATTAGTGCTGCCAGGAGCAGACATGTCTCACTGTTGTGAAAAGCCTTATGTTATTAAAACATCAGCCAATTTTTCATATTTGGCACTGATATAAAAGCACTTTTTAAAAAAATAAAACATGAGTTACCAAACTGATAATGATTATAATCAACCTTATTTCAATCTCAGCTAAATTGATGGTCCTGTCATTTAATATTTTCATTTTCAAACCATCCGTTGTGGAACCATATAGAAACCTAACTGCCTGCACTGTAATGTTCTCCATTCTTAGCATAGGGAAAAAATATTTTTCAAACCATCCCCACCCTTAAGAATTGCCTGGTGTCCACCAGCTCTGCTGACAAGGACAGTGAAAGTGAAGGTGTTGAGGCAGCTGGTCTGGCGTGACAGCGGCCTGAGGAAGGAGGGGGAGAGGGAGCAAGACACTTGAGAAGCAGACAAAGGCCTGCATGGTGGGAAGCAAAGGCAGGGGGCCGCCTGAATGATAGAGCCAGCCAGTAAAGGGGAGGGGGAATTTGGGACCTAGCCACTTGTGGCCTTGAGTATGCAATTTGGGGTCTTTAAACAAAAGTTTTTAAATCTCTGTAAGTTTCTCTCACGTGGGTAGAGTCTTAAAGCGTTGGCTGTTGCGGTTTTGCTTCCAAACCATTTTTGCTGACTTTTCAATTCTTTAGTTATTCATTCCACTCGCCTGCCCTTTCTCCTCTGAAAAGCTCCGAAGCCGTGCATGTCTCCATCCATGATGCAACCATCATCACTTTGGGACCGGCTTTCCATTCCCCCAGAAGAAGAGACACAAAAGGAATGCCTCCCACTAGTTATCCTGTAAGCTGTAATGTTTTCCCTGTCTCTTTTAAACTGCTTTTCTCTGGCTCCATGACGCAGCACAGGTGTCTATCAGCAGCTCCCTAAAGGTCCTTCAGAGAGATCAAAGGGCCTCTGGTCCAGGGCAGCTAGAGATCTCTGCTTCAGCCAATAGTCGCAGAAGCACGAGCCCACGGTGCTGTGGGAGCGCCTTCCGCTCCATCAGCCAATAGCCGCTGAAATACCAGCCCACTGGGGCGTGGTAGATTTCTCTTTTAAAAAGAGACGCAGAGCTCGGCTCGGGCCTCTTGGTTCTGGCGCTTGGTCCCGGCTCCTGCTCCAGCGACTAGGCTCCCTTCCTGACGGTTTATGGTGTATGTAAGTTTTACCCCCCCAAAATAAATAACCCCTTAAAACATAACTGGTGTGGGATTGATTCGCCGTTAATCTCTCCCTGAGCAGGGTCTGCCAGCTGAGGCTCGTGGGTTCTCTCAGAGGCCACGCTTCTGTCTACCTCTTTCTGCAGAAAGGAACTGGCCTGGAAGTCTGACTCTATTCCGCCTTTCTGCTTCCTAAGCCCAAGATCCTCTGCCCCTCTCCTGCAATTGGAAGTGATAACCTTCAGGATCCCCGCCAGTCTGGAATACTGACGTAAAGAGA